GAACGGGGAACGGGGAACGGGGAACGGGGACCGGCACCGCCCCTGCCCCCGGGCCGTCCCCCGGCCCCGCACGGCCCCCGCCACACGGAGATGGCCGGGCAGCGGCGCTGCGGGCGGGGGCGGCGGTGGAGCCCAGGCGGTGCGGAGGGCRTGGAGCCCGGCCACGGCCAGAGGGRYCGGTCGGTGTCACCGCACAGCCCGGACAGGCGAGCGCTGCACGGACGGCGGGGTCCCTTCAGCCCTCCCAGAGACGGGACAGGGTCCCCTCCGCCCTCCCAGAGACGGGACAGGGTCCCCTCGGCCCTCCCAGAGACGGGACAGGGTCCCCTCCGCCCTCTCAGAGACGGGACAGGGTCCCCTCGGCCCTCGGAAAATGGGGCTGGGGGCTGCCACACCCGGGCTAAAACCGCTCTGCCCCACATCTTGGCCGGTGGGTGCCGAAGGTGCTGCTCCAGAGCTGCTGCCAGGGGTAGAACGGCCCTTCCCTGATTTTGCTTTCACTCAAACCTTTGAAATCTGCTCTGCATCCCAGTTTAAGTGACACGAACATGTTAATTGCTGCAAATGGAACAGCTGAGCAGAAATATGCTCTACTGACCTCTAATTAAGCGCTATACATTTGGCACTTGAGTCAGAATATGGTTATTATTTATTGTCTTGGCAAAACACAATCTGCTGGTTTCAGCCATTTCTTCCTCRTTCCCATTTTCACTAAGTGTGGTGGGTGAGACATGAGCCAGTCAGAGCTGCTCTCAGCTCAAAGCTGTGTTCTAGACAGAGTGTTATTAGTCCTTCATGAATATGTATTCATTTCTCAAACTTTTGAGTCTGTTTAAATTATAAAACTTCTTTGCTGGGAAAGCTTAATTGGGAAATCAGCTGCATATTGTACCCCTGTGGGAATATGCAAGTGGCTGCAGATGGAGTCACCGGCCTGGCTTCGTTTTTGGGGTGACTTAGGCTACAACGTCAAAGCAACAGCTTCAGTTTTGCAAATATAATACCTTTCCATCTTGCGTGTTAGGGGTTTCTTCCCCTCCTGYACTCATCCACTAACAACTGCTTATTCACTATTTTAAGATTCTTTTAAATTTTAATCCAAACTGAATGGGAAGAAATAGGAAAKCAAAAAAGGGAGACAAGAAGATTAACACCTGTAAAATCCATGTTGTACAGCGAGCCCGGTTCGCAGAGCTGTTCTGTGGTGCCCTCTAGGATTTGAGAGCACTGAAAAAATGAATGTCGAGTCTTCACATTCCCAGCAAAGCAAACACCCAACCCACGAGCCAGACACATGGCAAATGCAGTACAATCATATCAAACCTACCACGCCTGCTTAGGGAAAAGCCATCTTGCTCCTCTCACAAGCAGCTGCATGACCCAAAGCAGAATTTATTCTAATACAGGACTTGGATTATTGTGTAAAAAATAATAAAAATATGCAAAGCAATGCTATTAGTAGAGGAGAAGCCTTTTAGTTTCTCTCTCCCTTTGTAATTGCCATTTCACTGGTGACTGCTCAGTGCCACTGCTCACTGCAGCTTCTCGCGGCAGTTTCCTTGAGTTTCCTGTCTTGAGCAAATTTTGAGTCATGCCGAAGCCGTGCCGATAGCATCAGTAAATATGCACTTTGAACTCCAGCCTGCTTCCCGCGGTTACCTAAGCAGCGCTGTAAATCCAAACTGGAAAGACAAAAGGAGCAGCAATTCCGGGAGCTCATAGCTGCCGGGGAAGGAGGCATTGCTGGGATTTGTGCGGGTGCTGGAGCCAGGCTGGGGTGCAGGCAAGGCCACGCACAGGGAACAGGCAGGCAGGAGCAGGAGGAGGAACAGGGGCAGAGCAGGAGCGGGAGCAAGAACAGAGCAGGAAAAGCAGCAGGATGAGGAGCAGGAGAGGGAGCGGGAGCAGGAACAGGAGCAGGATGAGGAGCAGGAGCAGAGCAGGAGCAGAGCAGGAGTAGAGCAGGAACAGGGGCAGGATGAGGAGCAGGAGCAGGAGGAGGATATTTTGCTGGGAGGATATTCTCCTGGGTGGATATTTTGCCGGGAGGATGCTCTGCTGGGAGGATTTTCTGCCTGTGCTGGGCTTGCCCTGCAGCTCACCCCGACCTCAGGGGTAACGCTGACACAGCAGAGACAGCCCTGGGGAARCTCTGGCTGCACGGAGAGGTGACACCCGGCCTGGCAGGACATTCCTGAGGTTCTGCTGTGCATGATGAAGGGTGAATACAAAARTGCAAATACCTGAAGGCAGGAGTGCTCTGTGCTGGATCCATGCTTCCCATCCCTCAGCTGCAATACTAAAGACTCCAAGCTCAGATTTATAATCTTGTCTGAGACACTACAATTTGTTTAGTCTTCCGTGCCACGGCAGGATTTTCCAAGGTACCTGACTCATCCCTGTAACCTTTTTGTGAGTGTTGTCTCATTTTGCAGTGGTTCCTAGGAAGGGTGGGCCCCTGAAGCACACACACTGGTTGTGATGCYGTGCTGACACTGATCACAGGCACCAGGCTGCCTCCCTGTTCCCGATGGTGAATCTCCAACCCGTGCAGCCTGTGCTGTCCAGGCAGCTCACCCCTGCTGCCCCATGGGCATCCTGCACTCAGCACAGCCCTGGCAATGGACAGTTCCCATCCTGGCTAGAGCAGTTTGCACATTCTCACTGCAGAGCTTCAGCTGCAAAAGGTCCAAACACACGAGTAAAGAACCWGGCAGATTTTTTCGCAGCCACACTGTTCCATGCCTCCTTCCACAGCCAGCAAACGAGTGCCTTGCTGCTTGCCACGCCGAGCTGTTCTTATTTTGGAGCACAACATGCAGCATGTTGCATTAGCACCTTCCCCTCCATCGCTCCAGCATATGCCTGGAGCTGACTTGGTTTCTGTCTGGTGGAGCTGGAGCTGAATTCCTTCCAGCTCTGCCTCTTAATGCACTTTCTGCAAAATCTGGGATTTTATACCACYGATTTCCATTAAACTGAATGTTTTGTTCCGTTCACAGCTGATTGAACCCAAACGGATGATATATCCCTAACAAGGAATGACAGTGTGTTGGAGCACAAATGGAAATTCCCAGTCAGTCCAATTAGTGCTGAGATATCGAGGTGTGGGGGAGTGTGAAGAGAACAGGAATGCTGCCCGTGAATGCAGAGCTCCTACCTGTTGATGTGGGTGTTCAGGAAGGYGCAGATGTCAGCATTTCAGGGTGTGCTGTACAAACAGGGGCCCAAACCAGTGCAGGGTGGGAGCTGCTAGAATGGAAATGGTCATCACAATGCCTGTTCAAAGAGAGGAAAATATATACAAACATACACACAGAGAGGATTTAGGGCACTCTGCATCTCACTCAGGAGTGCTGCTGGAAAGGACGGGTGAGCACAGAGCTTGGAGCTTGAGTTGCTCTCAACTCCCCAGCACAGGATGTCTTACCTGCTGCAAAAATGCCTGTTTCACATTTTACCTCAATTGGCTCGTGACCTACATATTGGCTTCTGGAGAGCTTCATTCGCCTTCACCTTAGGAAACTCTTTAGGTCAAACATGCTTTACCACATTGTTTTCTTTCTTCAGTCCCTGAGGCTTCTTTTATTCCTTTTTCATGTGTCACAGAGGAAAGCATCTCTTTCCTTATACACCCTGCAGGCTTTCCACAGGGAGCCCGGAATTCTCTTTATTTATTTTAAAATACTACTGCCTGCAGCGTCTAAAATACTCTCCAATATTCCTTTCCAAGGCAATATTCCCTTTGCCC